AAGGACCCAACAAGGAAGCTCAGGAAGTACCAATGAAGGGGCCAGGAGAGCGGCGTAGACACTCTGGTGGCTACCGTGGACTCAGGAGCCCGCAACACGGTTGGGCATCCAAGCGTTGGGGTGCATTTCTTTGTCGCAGCCGCGGAGGCTTCCAAAGCCAGCGAACGCGACGGCGCAGCCAAGGGTGCAGTCAACATGAACGATGGGCAGTGGCTCACTGTGGGGAAACGCACAATGGGGCCCACGGTTAGCGCGCCGGCCCAGGTAGCGGGGTCTGCTCGCGAGATGGTCGAAGCGTGGGATCGCCTAGTGTTGGATCGAGGCAACGCTGGATGATCCTGCAGCCCCCTCGAGCACGAGGCCACTCGGCCAAAAAGCGACGATCTACGAGACAAATTGTATGTTCCAGTTTACCATCCGGGCCCCGACAGGAGCTGCGAGTCGAAGGGGTGCGACGGGCGTGGAAGAGGTCGGCGAGGAGAAATGCATTAGTTTTCCGTCAAATCCAGTCATCGTGAGCTCGAAGGACAACCGAGAAGGCGACGACGGGGGCAGCGAATTAAGCGACGCGGGAGATGCGTTTGCTGGGGCGGAGGGCAAGGCGCCCGAAATGATCGCGTGATTTGGCGCAGAGTAAATTCGAAGATGGGTTGCCCAATTAAGCGCCCCCCCCCCCCCATATATATATATATTATATATATATATAAGAAAAAAAACAACAACAACAACAACAACAACAACAACAACAACAACAACAACAACAACAACAAAAAAAAAAAAAAAAAAAAAAAAAAAAAAAAAAAAAAAAAAAACGGCGCCCCGCTGCTTCGGGGCGCAGCGAAGGAAAGGTCGCGCAGAAACAGGATGGGGGCTCTCGAACGGAGCGCGCCCACGATCTCAGTCGATTCCACGTGGCTCAGCGGAGAGAGAGGACAGCGAGGAAGAGGGCAGAGGCAACCCGACCATTGTCACGCGCTGCCGGGGCGCCAAATTAATTGGGGGCCGAATTGCATTCAATGAGTTCGGGGTCCGCACTGGGCCGCGGCATTTTGCGACGCGCCCCCGCTCAGACGGCGCAGAGTTGCCCTCGCGCGGCCAGTTACTGGGGGGGAATATGCGTGGCCCACCGCGACAGTGGCAAAGCGCGGGCTGGGGGCGACGCGCCGGGGGGCGAGCCCGACCCCTAAGTCGCGCTAGATGCTCGGAGGCTGGGGGGCCGGGCAGGGGGCGCGGGGGGGGGGATTTAGGGGGCGCGACGTCTATGGGGAAGAGGAGGGTGGAGAATGCTGGGGCCGTCAATGGCAAAGCCCCAATGGGCACGAGGTGCGCTGGCATCCGAAAGGGCGACGAGGCCAGTCCTGAGCGCCGATCCCAGCTGCTGGCCCAATAGTCACGCCCATTCCCCGTCGCCGCCGCCCCCCCCCCCCCCCTCTCCCACCTCCCCGGACAAAAGATATCGCGCGCCCCAAAAAGGTCGCGCCCAGCGGCAGCGGCCGAGGGAATCGCGCGCAGAGGAGGGAAGCGCAAGAAACGGTCGCGGTTCGCGGTTCGCGGCCCCATCTCGCGGTTCGCGGCCCCGTCGGGAGCTCCGCCGACGGCCCCGGGGGCACAGCTTGTGCGCTTCGCCGAATTTATCCGCGAGGTCAGACCTGGGGAGCTGGCCCGCCCGAGCAGCTTCTCTCGCATGTCCAACCGTTTGGCCTCGCGCCGTGGGCGACCCGCGCGCGTCGCTGGAATCCTCTCGGGGCGACCAGCGCGCGTCGCGCGATCTCCGCGCCGCGCTCCGCCCGTCCTCGCTCTGGCCCGCGGCCGGGGCCTTGCCCGCTATCGGCCGGCCGGCCAGCTTGTTTTGTTCCGCGCGGCGGACGGCCCGCGCGCGCCGCTGGGGCCCCTCCGCCGCCGGGGCCCCGCGCTGCGCTGCTCCGGCGGGCTTGGACTTCTGGGGCGCGCGGGCAAAGAGCGGGGGAAAAGAAGCGATTGGCCATCTTGGGCGGTCTAGCTTTCCTCGCGCCCCCCCATCAAACAGATGGCGGACAGAGGGGGCCGCGCCGTTGGCCCATGGGAAGCTCCACCGGCGGCCCCTGTGGCGGCGCCCGCGCGCCGCCGCCAGTCCAGTTTGGCACGCCCTTCGCACGTTTCGTGCCTCCGCGACGAGCTCCACCGAAGATGGCACTCACTGCCGTGACACTCGCGGCTGCATGTGGTCGAGCGCTGAGCGGGCGCATCTTTGCGCTCGGGCCAACGAGGACGTCTTCGGCCAGGTGGCCCGGACAAGAATGTGAACTTGACATGCGTGGAAGATTGTTCAGTTCCGCGCGCGGCGCCCTGGGCGCCGCCAGCACTTGGAAACATTGTCGCGTGGATTCTGCACTCGGTGTTAAACTGAGCCACGGGGAAGAGTCGCCATTTTTGTGCCGAGGTGAGATTGGGCGAGTCCGACTAACGGTGGAAGGGGAAGTTTAAACAGCGTTATATAGCGGCGTTCGTCTTGCCCGGTCTAAATGGGAAATTCAGCAGAAGAGCGAAGTTGAAATCCGAGGCAGGCTCGGGCAAGGGACGTGAGATTTGAGACCAGTCAGAATCATTTAGCGAACTGCGGAATGGAGCGGGGACGGGATATAGTATGAGGCGTATCGCTGACGTGCCGAGATTTTCGCCAACGAGATCGGCTTGGAACATTTCCAGATGCGATGCGCGATGCCCGGCGACAAGCAACCTGGCAAGGAACAGGGCGATGGGCCCCTCCCAAGTCATGAAGTTAGGAGATATCGTGCTCGAGTGGGCAGGGCAATTTATCTAGCACTGGACCGCCTGGATACGCGCAGATCACAGTCAAAGAGCTCGCGCGTTCTGCGTCAGCCCTGGCCTGAGGGGCCCGGGGAAGTGGCGCGAGATTGGGCAGGCACCTCAAGTGCCACAGCAGGTGTGGGTAGCAGCATTTGCATCATGAGCGCCCCGGGGAGTGAACTGCGCGGACCGACGCCGGTCGCGCAGGTTGCGAGAGAACGCGGGAATCAGCAAGCGGAGGCACAGTGATGTGGGGATCGCACATTATTGTGTCGCGCAGTTCGATTTAGAGTGTCGCGGTACTATCTTCTGGAGAAGAGGAGAAATACATCATGTTTAAAGGTGCCCCAGTAGCAAACGGGCCCTCAGCGGTTCCCAATACTCTTGAAGCTGATTTCGGTAGGTCGTTCAAAAGCGACGCAAGTGCAGCATTGTCCTTGCGAGCGCGCGCGGATTGCAGCCACCGCCTTGTCCACGGAGAACATGAGCTGACACCCGCCACGGGGTGGCACGCTCAAACCAGATCTGGGATACTACCGCGAACCAGCTGCCGGGCATTTGAAGTCAGAACCAGTTGAGGTCTAGGTGTCGTCTTTGCGACTTCCGACTTGTATTACAGAAGACGTTGTCAACATTGCATGATTAGGTGTTTTGCGGTACGACGATAATGTAATACGTGCGTTCTGCTTGCGCCAACGGCGTTTCATGTTTCATTTGTTCCAGTTGATTTGCTAGGATGGAGTCCCAGCTTCGCTGCATCGCCCACTTGTTTCGCATTCGGTCGTTCCCCAGGCACTGCTGCTGCTGTTTACGTGGCCCCCCCCGCAGTTGCGGATAAGAGTGAGGGGGCGGCGAGGACGTCGTCAGTAGGCGAGGCTCTGCGGAAGCCCGCCGCAGGCGCCTAACTGTTACAAAGTTTGAGCCCGCTGCAGGCGCCGATTTTTTCGTTAAAGCAATGTGGATGGATCGCGGGGTGGGCGGGTGGGTCGCGGGGTGGGTCGCGGGGTGGGTCGCAGGGTGGGTCGCAGGGGGTGTCGCGGGTGGGTCGCGGGTGGGTCACGGGGTGGGTCGCGGGCGGGTCACGGGGTGGGTCGCGGGGTGGGTCGCCTGTGGGTCGCGGGGTGGGTCGCGGAGTGAGTCGCGGGGTGGGTCGCGGGATGGGTCGCGGGGTGGGTCGCGGGTGGGTCGCGGGGTGGGTCGCAGGGGGGACGACGACAACAAACAACAACAACGCATCAAGCAGAATCCTCACCACGGACCCCCAGTAGAGCCACGCACCCAGGGACAATGAATGACGGTCTGGCCCCCTCACTCTGTATTCGCCCGTCTCCACATCCGGGTTCTCAGCTAAAGGTGGGGGTAGATCATGGCGTTCCGACTGGGTGAGCAGGTGCATGGCCGTGTGGATCACGAAGCCTTGTTGCAGTTCTAGCGGGAATGTTGCGCACGGTTTGCGCCCGATGGCGTTTGGTTGAAATTGAATTCGCCTTCCCGTTTAGGGGAACAACGGTGTTCAGTTTTTTAAGGGAAGGGGGGAAAAAGGAAGGAAACGAAATATGAGGAGAAATATGGGGAGGGGGAGGCTTGAAGCATCATGAGCATGAGGGGGAAACCGATTCACGGGTGTGGCGCAGGTCTTCACGTCTTTGTTGACGGAGGAGAAAGCCGCCATCGCGAAGGCGCTCTTCCTCTTCTTCCTCCTCCTCCTCTTCTTTTTCCTCCTCCTCCTCCTTCTCCTCCTTTTTTCTCTTCCTGCTCGTGGCCTCCCTTGGAGCGGAAAGGGTCCTCAGTTCCCCCTCTCCTCCCTCATTTTTCTTCTTTCCTCCCTCTTCCCTCCCTCCCCCTCGTACCTACACTCCGTCATGCGTTATCCCAGCTCCCTTCCCCCCTCTCATCCCTCTCACCCCTTCCTCCCTCCCAGATCTCCCACGCTTCCGCGTTTCCAAACACTTGGTTTCCCAGTCCCGTCCCCAGCCCCCGAGAAAAGTTGTTTATCCCGAGTTGGTATCCGAATGTCCAGGGACCCGGAAACGAGCCATGTTGACGAAGATTTGAACAGAACGCTTGGATTGAGAAGACGCGATGTCGGAGGTCGGGGGTAAATGTTGTCGTCGCCCTCCTCCTCCAACTCCTGCGTTTCCTCCTCCTCGAACTCCTCCTTTTCCTCCTCCTCCGCCTTCTTCCCCTTCTCTTCGCCGAAGGCTCTGGTCGAGATGCATTTCCAGAAGGGTGAGGTCGTCTTGCAGCAGGGAGAGTCCCGCACTCAGCATGCACGCCAGGAGGGGAGGAGGGAGGGAGCAGGATCGATGATTTGGTTTAGTTGTCACGGCCAACCCGGGATACCATCGTCGCCACGGCTGGCGTTTCTTGCAGATTCAGGTCAGGAAGCGCCACAGGACGTGCCAGGGGTGTTATTTTGTTTTGTCTCTGTGTGTGGGGGGGTGGTGGGGGAGGTGGGAGGAGGGGTGGCTGTGGTGGTGGGTATCAGTTGCCGGTTTCCCTCTGGTAATTTGTCGTTGTTCGAATTGGCGGCCCCTGGAATGCACGAGCCCTTCCCCTGGGATCGTTGTTTGTTTGTCTTGGGGCCCGGAAGCGGAGGCAGAAAATGCCCGAAGCCCGATGTCGAATCGGTTCCCCACATTCCAAGTGGGTATCGTGTTATCTCTGGAATGACAGCGCAGGAACGAGAATTCCCCCCACATCATTCCATCATCATCATCAACAACAACTTCATCCTCATCCTCATCCTCATCATAATCCTCATCACCACTCTCATCTTCATTATTCCTCGTCATCATCATCAGCAGTATCATCATCATCCCCATGATCATCCCCATCATCATCATCATCATCATCACCACCATCATCATCATCTTGATCATCAAACTCATGATCATCACACTCATCGCCGCCTGCATCACCATACTACTAGCATTGCCATACCATGTTATCACACTTTCTAGCACCATCACCATCATCATCATCACCATCATCATCACTAGCATCATCATCATCATCATCATCATCATCATCATCATCAGCATCGTCATCGTCATCGTCATCATCATCACCAACACCATGATCATCACTCACTCACTCACTCACTCACTCACTCACTCACTCACGCACTCACTCACTGACTTACTCACACACTGACACGCTCACGCACCCCTCCTTCTCCTCCTCCTCCGTCTTCCATCCGCCTTCCCATGCTTCCCTCCTCGACTTCCATCGTCATCTTCATCATCACCACCACCACCATCATCAGAAAGAGCGTGTTCTACCCCTGCTGGCGGAAACGGAGGGGTTGTCACTACCGGTTCGAACCCCTCCCCCCCCTCCGGAAAACCGGGGGGGGTCACTACCGGTTCGAACCCCTCCCCCCCCCCTTCCCCTTGTTCATCATGAAAAGGGGGGGGGCACTACCGGTTCGAACCCCCTCCCCCCCTCGAAAACCGGGGGGGGGTCACTACCGGTTCGAACCCCCCCCCCCCTCGAAAACCGAGTGGGGGTGCGGACAGTGGTGGGGACGCTGTTGGTGGGGACAGTGGTGAGGGGACAGCGGGACAGTGGTGGGGACAGTGGGACAGTGGGACAGTGGTGGGGACGGTAGTGGTGGGGACAGTGGTGGGGACAATGGTGGGAACAGGGGGGACAGTGGACAGTGGTGGGGACGGTGGTGGTGGGGACAGTGGTGTGGGGACAGTGGGAATGAGGTGGAAACAGTGGGACAGTGGAGGGTACAATGGTGGTGGGGACAGTGGTGAAGGCGGTGGCGAGGACGGCGGTGGGACAATGGGACAGAGGTACAGTGGGGACAGTGGTGGGGACAGTGGGGACAGTGGTGGGAACAGTGGGACAGCTCAGTGGGACAGCGGAGGAGTCAGTGGGACAGTGGGGATAGTCGGGCAGTGGTTGGGGCCGTGGAGACAGTGGGGAGAGTGGAACCGTGGTGGGAACAGTGGTGGGGACAGTGGGGACAGTGCGACAGTGGTGGGGGCACTGGTGGGGACAGTAGGGACGGTGGTGGAACCAGTGGGGACAGTGGTGGTGAGGACAGTGGTGCTGGGAACAGCAGTGGGGGATGTGATGCGGACGGTGGTAGGGACCGGGAGTCGTTTGCTGGCGGTGCGTGTGGGGGGGGGGTCGAACCGGTAGTGACCCCCCTCCGGTTTTCGAGGGGGGGGGGGGTTCGAACCGGTAGTGACCCCCCCCCGGTTTTCCAGATCCGGATGGGGGGGGGGGGGGAGGGGTTCGAACCGGTAGTGACCCCCCCTGGTTTTCGAGGGGAGGGGGGGGGGGGGGGGGGGGGGGGGGGATTAGGGGAGGGGGGGTTTTGCCAGGGGATGGGGGGGGGGGGGGGGTCCAGCAGGGGGGGGGGGATTTTCGGGGGGGGGGGCGGGGCGACCCCCGGGCTCCGGAGGAAAAGGTTGGCAATTTTCCACAGTAAAGCGGCGGTGGATCACGCTCTCTCCATCATTATCATCATCATCATCATCATCATCATCATCATCATCATCATCATCATCATCATCATCATCATCATCATCATCAGCAGCAGCAGCAGCAGCAGCAGCAGCATTATGATTACCACGAGGCCCGTCCTATGTAGTCCCCACCTCATGTTACCCATCCGATCGGGTCATCCGGTCCAAGTGGGGTCCTCGTCTGGTTAGCGTATTGCAAAGAAGTCTCGAGCTGAAGCCACCTCCTTATGGGGCCCACAGTTCGCGTTGACAGTTCGAGCGGGTCATCGGAGTACTCTACGAGACATATCACTTGCGCATCCAAAGGGGACATCGTGAGGATGCCTCGAGCGGGGGCCTCGTCTGTGAGTGGAACGCGAGGATGTCTCGAGCGGGGACCCCTCCCCATGGGGCCCGCGCTTCATGCTACGAGTCCGAACAGGTCATCGTAATATTTTCCAGGCAGGGCACTTGAGCACCCCAAGAGGGCCAATCGTGAGGATGTCTCGATCGGGGGCCTCGTCTGTGGAGATAGGGGCTCGCGAAGACTTTCAGAATGGCAGGCCCCCAAGGGGGCGAACTTTCGCAAGTTTTTGTTCCAACTCTTTTCAACTTTCAGGGCTGCCGGAAGACACGTTTCAATTTTGGCTTCAAACAGCAATTAGTTTTTCTTATGTTTCATCTTTCCAGGCCTCCCTGAAGGCTACTTTTCGGAAACTTTCGGGCCCTGGGGTGGACCCGTCCGACAAGTTGTTTTCCATCTTCCATCAACTTTCGGCAAGTCTTCGGCACCGCCCGCGAAGTTACTTTGTCAACTTTTGTTCACTCTCTGGCAGCTTTTGGATTTTGCCGACATAAACTTTCTCATTTGCAACTTTGGCGGTGCCAACTTTTCCCGGAGTCCGATCATTATTTTTTTGATTCTCTGTAACTTCTGGCGGCGGCCGGAAGTAACTACCCAGGAGGCGTTCGGGGCTCAATGCGCGGGGGTCAATGCAAACGGGGGTCTGTCAGAGCGCCGGATTTTGCAGGATCCTGCAGAGCCAGGGCTGCATTGACCTGGGCTTGGATATCCTGCTGGGCCCGACTGACCCGGGTTTGAATTGACCCGGGTCAGCTGATCCCCGAGGCCTGGAAGTTGAAACGATCCCCGTGGTTCTGCAGGACTAATTTAACCGTTGCGGCAAGTGGGGTGAGACAGATCCACTCCCTGGTAACGGACGACGTGCGACGATGGCGGGTGCCATGTGGCGGGGCCTCCCTGAAGGGCCATGCGCCCATGGTGAGTCTATGACTGGTGGATCGGGCGGGGCGGGTCAGGTCAGGCCGGGCGGATCGGGCCGGGCGGATCGGGGCATCAAACCGTTGCGCGCTCGAGCGAGCACGCGCGAGCCCTGACGGGCGGATTGGTTTGGGCGGGCGGACCCGAATGGGCGGGGCGGGACGGGCCACGCGGGCGGACACTCGCGGGCGGGTCGGGTCGTGCGGGCGGGACATCAAAGCGCGGTGCAAACTCGAGCCAGCCGACCGACTGCCCATCTGCCCCACCGGATCTCGTACCCCGTCTGTTCTGCGGGCCGAGATTCCGCCGCCGACCTCGACGACGACGTCCGATCTCAGCAGTTGTCGGTTGCCACCTCGTTTTCTTGTCGGCTGGCGGGCGGGTGGGCCGTCTTCAGACGACCCTGATACGGCGAGCGCGCGGTCAGACAGGAGCCTGATGGGAGAGAGGTGCCGCCCAAGATCTTGGCATCGCTCCGACGTGTGCATCCTTTCTCGGCGAGAACCATCGAGGACCATCCTGGACCATCGAGCAACAAAAAACACGCACGAAACCGATAAATGCACGGGAGATGGACGTCCGAGCGACGGCAAGATATTCTTTTTGACAAAGGGCGCGCCAGTAAGGCAGTTCGACGGCGCAGACGGGCCAGCGGATCTGCTAACATGGATGCCAAGATCCTGGAAGGCTTTCACTGCGAGTTCCGCCGCAGAGCCGGCGGCTCTGCTGGGTCAGCCTTGGGGTCCTTGCAGCCCCCGGATCACACGACACGGGCCCCTCAGGATAGTGTCCGGCGCGCTAGACAAGCAGTTCGCGACAACGAGCGAACCCGAGGGAGATCCCACGACGGGCACTTGACCGCTGTTCTAGATCCCCAGACCGCCCCGGCAATCACCAGGTCGAAGCGTCGCGCCGCAAGACCGCGCAGAACCTCGTGGGCGAAGCACCCGCCGCCACAAGGCCCTCGAAAACTCCAGGACCAGCATCCCGTTGACTGCGAGCCGAGACGCGCCGAACCTCATCGAATAGGAAGATGGCCCAAGATGGCATTCAACATGCTCCAAGATGCTCCGAGACCTGTCCAAATCGGCCCCCATGTGGCTTCGAAACCCCTAAAGTTAAGTCGGGCCTGTCCCCCTACAGGGGGATTTTCGACAAACAATTTTAAACATACACCAACAATAATCAAACAAAAATCAAAAAATAGTCGGGGGACTATTTTAGGAGTATTTTTGTTTTTTGTTTGTTGCCTTTTTGGGGCATTTCTTGGAAAGTGCGCCAGTGGATCTCCCTGAATACACTAAAGGGGGGGGAGTCCCGACCCCCCCCCCTCCCTTGAGGGGGGGTCCGGACCCCCCCCCCCTCCCCCCCTTGGCGCTGGAAAGGGGAGGGGGGGGGGGGTCGGACCCTCCCCTCCTCGTGTAGGGAGTACGGAGTTGGGAGTAGGGAGTGGTGAGTAGTGAGTAGTGAGTTAGTGCGTAGTGAGTAGTGAGGATTGGGTAGTGA